AGCAGGAATTCACATCTTCAAGTGCCTAAATATTCACCTAGCCATCAGGAAAGGCAAGCAGAAAGTCTTCAGTCTCTACACATGAAAGGAAGAAAAACCAAGGACTTCCTGGTTTGTTCTCCTCCTGAACAAACTTTGGTTTTCTCAGGAAGCCTAGTTATAGTCATAGTTCATGATTTGGATGAAACTACAAACCACTGTTTTCCATGAAAATCTTTCATTACTGAACTTGTGCAAAGGAAGGGGAATGGAATACAAGAGCCCAAGGATCCCCCAGTCTAATTCCACAGTTTGCTATTACTGTCTGGCATTATAGAGTTCAATAAGACAGAGCATAGCTGGACCTCAAATATAGATAACCTTGGTATAATAAAGTATTCTTATTTCTAAAGTTTTTCTTTCTCTCCTCTTTTTCTTGTATGAGGATGCAAATTTATCGTATCAGGGCCTAGGATGAAAGTTCACCAATTACCTCACAATGCTTCTTAGAGAATAGGCAAAATAAAAATGTAACAGCTAGATATAGATCAAATACCTGTTCTTTCTTACTTGCTTTCAAGTAAACTTACAGTCAAAGAAAACAAGTAAACTACCTGATGTGCTATTTCCTTATTATCTTTTCCAAAGAAAAAGGTGGTTCTGCTGCAAGAGCAACTGGGTCATAGAGTAGCACTCTCCTTATAAGGGCATAAATTGGGGTCTCCAATGACAGTACCTTTAATTTCCATTGTGAACGGTGGCTACCACAAGTACTAAATAGTTTGGATACCTCATTATTTTAATGCATAATTAAGCCTGCAGATATATTTACTTGTTTACTTGCAAAATTCTAAAATGCAGATTAGAAGTGTACAATTCCCCTCCCCCTCCTTTTTTGGTTTGGGTCTACTGAATTGGGGGAAATTCCAGTTTTCCAAAAAATCCCAGATCTCAATATTGGTGCCCTATTTGAATCCAGGATTTTTTCTGGAAATCCTGAATTTTTAGGGGTCCAATAGATCCCAGAATAAAAAAATGGGGTGGGGGGGATTGCAAAAAGTTTTAAGAGTCTGATATTTGGATCATTTCTTTTCACCTATTTTATCTTTTACTAATGTGTACACCATAATAAATATTTATATATTTATAATAACTTATTTTGTTAGCTTGACCCTCATATGTCACTGCCATATCGTGGGTTGAGCCCCCCCCCCTTCTCAGTTTTTGGAAAGAACTGCACACCAGAAACTGTGCTGATCCTGGGCTGGCCTTAAACCAGGCTGCAGATGAAGCCAGACCCAAGCTGAGCCAGCATGGAGCCCTCAGCTCCCCGCCAACCCAGCTGATCCTGGGCTGACTTCTCCAAGCTGAGCCAGAAGGGAGCCGAGAGCTCCCTGTGGTCACAGCTGATCTTGGACTGGCTTCTCCTGCACCCCAGTTTAAATTGGGCAGCACAAGAAGCCAGCGCCAAGCTAAGCCAACAGGGAGCTCTCCCCTCCTTTTCCACAATGAAGGGAACCAATGCAGTTCACATCACTCTTCACTCTTCCATTTTATCCTCACAACAACCCCTGTGCGGCACGCTAGGCTGAGAGTGTGTGACTGGCCCAAGATCATCCCATAAGCTTCCATGGCAGAGTGGGGATTTGAACCTTGGTCAGCCAGAGCTTTCATGTGGTGGCTGCTGTTGAACAGTAGCAAGTAGCCAGGCATAGGTGAGTCACAGAAATCTCTAGCAAGTTGCCGGGTGGTTGCTGACAGATCTGGACCTGATGAGTCCTCTGTCAAAACAACTCTGGAAAGAGCCCCCCTCTACTCTTTGTTACTGACATAAACAAAGGCCTGAAGGCTAGCAATACAGTTGTGGTTCCCTAGCTACAGGTGCTATGGGGGGGGGGGTTAAGGCCCCCAATGTTTCTTTTTTTAATTTCAGATTTTTCAGCAACCTCAGGTTTGTAAAAAAATACCTCTTGTCTGTTCACAGCTCTAATCTCCAGATTTAAGTATACACAGACCAGGCCATGTTGATAATTACACTGACAAGCAAGGACCCATGAGAAACTCATGGGACCCTTGCTTAGTCCTCTGGCTTTTGACACCACCAGCCACCTTTCTCTACTTTTCTTTCACTGTCACCTCGTCTTCACATTTTTTTCTGTCCACACCATATTCCTTCTTCCCCCTTAACCCCAACACTAGTTGGTTGTCTTAGTGCTCCCCTTCCCATCCTCACTGCTTTGCCTGCCTGTTTAGCCATCTCCTCAGTGCTCTACCTTCCCATCCTCATTGCTTTTCCTACCTGTTCAGCCATCTCCTTGGAACTCTATCCGTTCCTCATCCTTGCCGCTCTGCCTATCACTGAATCTTAATATTTTGATAAATATTCATCAGCAGTTTTCCCTCTGCTAATTAAATCTAGCCTTCCATCCCCTTCAATGATCCAGAGTTTTACATTTTAATCATTTACTCTTTACATATACTATAACTACATTAATCTGCTGACTCCTATACATTTTTTCCCTGTGGAAATGTAAATGACTGAAGTTTTGTTAAAACAGAAGTTATATAAAAAGCACTGAAGCTAGCAAGGACTCCAAACCAAGCTTGTGGATTAGAATTTTATTTCTTTACTACTTTTCACATCTGCCTTAGTATTTACTGCAACCATCTGCAGATCATTTAACATTGTCTTTTGGTGTGTGTTTTGCCTATATTCTCTTCACTCTGCCTCAGGATGCATTATCATTATTTGAGAGATCTATTGCTGTCTTTAACAAAACAGAATTGAATTCATCTATATAATTCATTTCTAATGAACGCTGTGCTCCTCATTAAACTCCAATTTACCTTTCTTTCCTTTTTCTGCACTGTCAACACTAACCATTTGTGAGCCTGTTAAAACCTGCTGCTTCAGGAGAATGAAACTAAGTACACACTAGCAGCATCCACATGGAAGTGTTTCAGAGAGCTTCATAGAAACTTTTCTTAAAATATAGCATTTGGGTAACAAGATTCATGTTTTCTTAGCTACTCCTGAATACATTTTATTGTATTTCTCAAAAAGAGTATCTCTTATATTACAAACATAACCTTTTGCAGCCTTGCTCTATCAATAACTTTGATATGGATAACGTCTCTTGTACTTGTATGCATTCACTATGTTAGGCATGGCATGCCTTGGAGAAAACACAGTTGCACTTCCCTGTAAACTGATGTTCATTGAGTATCTTCTGTGCAGTCCCACATGAGACTGCTTCAGAGCTGGCCTGCTGTGGAGATAAGCAATACAAGCTTCTAGAATGTATAGCTGAGTGCTCCCCTCAGCACAGCAGAGTTACAAGCTCTGTTCCCGCCCAAATGATCACGTGACAAGGGATGGAGGAAGCACTCTTCTCTCAGTCCTCTTTCTGCCACCATGGAGATTATAAAGGTGTATGACCCACAGTGGGGAAGGAGGGAGGGATGTGTGCCTGCACAGAAAACACTCAGTGAACATCAGTTACAGGGAAGTGCAACCATGTTTTCATCTTTGTGTCTTCTGTGCAGTCCCACATAGGATATTAGCAAGCTCACTTACCACAGAAGTTCTGATTAACGGAACAAAGATTGTAATGCTACTTTTCCAACAGCTGCTTCTCTCCTGGAATCTACATCAATAGAGTAGTGTTTGATTAATGTTGATGGAGAGGACCAAGTTGAAGCTCTGCAGCTCTCCCTGATGTCAAGGTTGCATCGAAAGGCCGCTGAAGAAGCTTGAGCCCTTGTTGAATATGCTTTTAGGGAAACGAGCATTTCAACCCTGCTGTAGTGTAAGACATCTTAATTGTAGTCATCACCCATCTAGATAGGGTTTGTGGATATATTGCTTTCCCTTTGTTTGGATCTTTAAAGCAAACAAAGCTTTTTCCTGGATGCTGAGGTACTATCTAAATAAAATAATAATGCTCTTCTGACATCTTATGTATACATTGCTTGTTCTGCTGGGGATTAAGGTTCAGGGGGAAATACTGGTAAAATTATGTCTTGAGACAACTGAAAATGGGAGATCAGTTTAGAAGTGAGGTCAAGACGGGGTTTCAAAACTACTTTATCCTTGTGAAATCTTGCAAATGGTGAGTCATACCTGAGTGCTCTTATCTCATTCACTCTGCATGCTGACGTTATTGCAACTAAGAATGCTGTCTAATAAGTTAAGAAAGACAGGTCACGAGGCCATGGGTTCAAATGGTTTATATATTGAGATAATACAAGAGACAAACTCCACTGAGGGGATCGGGATTTAACTGGTGGATACAAATTCAGTAAACCTTTGAGGAATCTCATAGAGAATGCATTTGAAAATACAGACTTAGTCAACTCCAGTGTGGAAGGCTGGTATGGCCACCAGGTGAGTCTATCAAGGAAAGGAGATAGTCAAAGATTCTGGTCTAATCCTTCTGTCTTTTGCCCATGCTGTAAAGCATTGCCTTTATAAGGTTTCCAGGTGGCTGGTTTGCATGATGACACTAAAACTTTCACCACCCTCTCTGACCATTGGTCTATGGTGAAATAACCACGCGCTGAGATGTAACATCTCCACA